GACCTGTTGGGATGACGTGGCTGTGGCCAGGTTCGCTCCAAGATGCAACCGTGAGCCAAGCGCTAGTGGCTCATGCCTGTCATCCTAGCTACTCAGGAGGCTGAGATCTGAGGATCGCAGTTCAAAGCCAGCCTGGGCAAGAAAGTCCATGATTTACTGGAGATAAATCGTCTGGCTGGGTCTCCCCAAGTCTAGGACAACGTGCTCCTCAGCTTGGCTGGCCTGTCACCAGGCACCTCCCTTTTCCAGAAAGGGCTTCTCTCCATCTGGGAGGGTCCGAGGAGGCTGCAAGCTGCCCTTGGCCTGGCCACAGGCTTGGGACGGCACCTAGGTTAGCCACATGGCAGACTCCTTGCCTGGGATTTTTTTTTTTTTTTGGTCAGTTGTGGGGCTTGATCTGGGCTGGGGGCTGTCCCTCAGCTCTTCAGCTCAAGGCTAGTGCTCTACCACTTGAGCCACAGTGCCACTTCTGGCTTTTTCTGTTTATGAGGAATCGAACCCAGCACCTCATGCATGCAAGGCAGGCACTCTACCACTAAGCCACCTTCCCAGCCCTGGGATTATTTATTTTTATATGCTCAACTGCTTGAACTACATTAACTATTTATATGCTTATTTATGTATGAGTCAGGGTCTGGGCGCTGTCCCTGAGCTTTTTTGTTCAAGGCTAGTGCTCTACCACTTGAACCACAGTTCTACTTCCAGCTTTTTTTGGGTGGTCAGAGATTGGAGTTTCATGGACTTTCCTGCCCAGGATGACTTTGAACATTGTTTCTCAGATCTCAGCCTTCTGAGGAGCTAGGATTACAGGCATTAGCCACTAAGCCCAGTCTACTTGCTCATTAACTTTGCTAGGCTGCCTGCCTCCAGCTCCAAGGAGCTGAGATTATAGGCATGCGCCACCACACCTGGTTCTTTCCTATTAACTACTCCCAGAGCCAGGCGCTGGAGGCTGAGATTGGAGGATGGCAGTTCAAAGCCAGCCTGAGCAAGAAAGTCCATGAGGCTCTTCTCTCCAATAAACTACTCAGAAAAAGCCAGAAGTGGTGTGGCTCCAAGTGGTAGAGAGCTAGCCTTGAACAAAAAGAAGCTCAGGGACAGTGCCGAGGCCCAAAGTTCAAGTTCCAGGACCAGCAAAAAATAAAAATTAAGAAAACGAATCCCAGTTAGCAACAAGGGAAGTGGACAGCCCAGCCTGTCTGGTGCAAAGCTATGGGGTTTGGAGGCTGGTGCTGTTGTGTGTAATTACAATGAAAAGATGGTCCTTAATAGGAGAGTGGGAAATGTGAGTTTTGGATGTCAGAGGGCACCTGGGAGATTTGTGCCTGGCTCCAGCTGTACCTGAGGCTCGATGCGTTCCCTACTGATCACACAGTTCAATGCCATGAGCCATGAAATCCTACCTTTTGCTTTTGTCCAAACAGATGCCAGTTAAGCTTCTGTCTCTTACCAGATTGTCTTAAAGGGGCAGATCCTGTGTCTCACCAGCTATTGTTCCTGGAACTTAACAGCATGAACCACTGAGAGAGGAAGTGCCAATGTTTAAGGCATGATCAGGTTGGCTGGGCCAAGTTCCAGCATGTCCAGTGTGGCCACTATACTGGGGTTTGAACTCAGGGCCTCATGCTTGTTAGGTAGGTGCTTTACCACTAAGCCACCCCTTCCAGCTGCTTTTCTCAGGCCTAAAAGGTGACACAAATAAGCATCTGCTTCGGAAGATCCCTGGGAAGATGAAACAAGTCACCCTGGAGAGACGCTAGGCTTGCTGTGTTTGCGATTTGCTGGTTTTGTTTGTGGCAGTCCGGTTACCCTAGCGCTGGGCACTTTGTAAATGTGTCTCCAGTGAATGGAGAGGCGTGACACACACGGCTCCTGGCACGCACACCCGGTGCTAGTGGGACATACATGGTCACACGTGTGCTGGTGCTTTGTCTAACACGTGTGCGCGCACACATGCAGAAGCTGGCCTCAGTGCCCTGCTCAGCAGTCCTTCTGGAGCCCCACCAGGACTCGTGGGCAGCCTGCACTGCCCATCTCAGAACCCCCTCTCATCACTCACTGGGGCCCCAATCTCCTCCAATGCCAAGCTCCCAAGCAGCCTCTCTGCATCCCGCCTGGGGGCTCTTGGCCTGGACTGGAGTCAGGCGGCGCCCCGCGCCCCAGCAGCCCCTCTGGGGCTTTCTGGTGTTCCTTGCGTGGGGGCTCGTGTGGGTCTCTGCGGTCATGGGGGGCCGGGGAGGGGGTGACTCAGGAGGCGTGCCTCCGGGGGTCAGCACCGGGCTGTGCACCCCTTGTTTTGGTGGAAGGTTTTCATGGGCCTGGATCGCCATTAGCTGGTGCTTTTGGTTTATGATGCTCAGGACATGAACCCTTTGGATGACAATCCTGGGTCCTGAAAAGATAAGAGGAGCGGGGGGCAGTGGGGGGGCATGGACTTTTTTGGGGGGGAGGTAGGGGGTCACCAGAGCTCTCCAATCTCCCCACCGCCTGTCACTCTCCCAATGCATTCCGAAGCTTAAGCTCAGACCTCTGAGAGCCGAGAGCCGAGGAGGGCCCGGGTGTGATTTACAAATCGGGATTCCTCACTCCACCCCCCCACCCCGACCCCCGTCACCGCGGGGTCCCTGCGGGGGACGCAGAGCCCCCCCAGACCCCGGGCCGCTCCCCAACAAAAGCGCCGACCGCGTGCCCCGCTCGGCGCGGACCCGGCGGCCCGGGGTCCAGCTCGGGCCGGGACCGCGGCGCCGTCCCGCGGGTGCGCGGAGCCGCGCCGCCCCGCCCCCTCCGCCCGCCGCCGCGCGCCGGGGCGGCGCCAGGGGGCGCTGTGGGTCCTGGCTGCGCTCGAACCCCGGCCCGGCGCGGCACCCGGCTCTGCCGGGCGGGGCGGGTGAAGGCGCCTCTCCTCCCCCCTCGGCCCGCGCCCCCCGACGGCCCCCTCGCTCCCCCCGCCTCGGGGGCCCTTAGGGCCCCCCCGCGTTCTGTAGAGCGCCCCCGAGAACTTTCGCCTGGCGGGCGTGACCCGGGGCCGGCCGAGGAGACCCCCGTCCCCCGCCCCCGAGACCAGGGCCGCCGCCAGCCCCGGGGCGTCCGGGCCGCGGCTCTCCCCGGCCGCCCGGGGAGGTGCGAAGCCGGGGCGGGGGGCGCGGGGTCGCGGTCCGGCCCGCGGGGTGGCCGGGAGGATCGCCCAGAAAGGGGGCGCGGGGGTGAGCGCCCCGCCGGGCGGCCCCGCTCCGCCGCCCCCCCTTCCCGCCTCTTCCTCTCCGAGCCCCTCGGGGCCGAGCGGAGCCGCCCGCGCGCGCCGGGCCGGGCCGCGGCCGCCGAGGCGTCCGGGAGCCGGGGAGAGGCCGAGCCGCCGGCCGGGCGCGTCCCCCGCTCTGAGGTCATCACGTAGGCGGGGGCGCGCGGCGCGGCCCCGAGCCTGGCGGCCGCGGGGGCCGGGAGGGCGCGGAGGGAGGGGCGGGAGGCGGGAGCCGCCGTCAGCACACCACCCAGTGGCACGGAGCAGTGATAACAAACTCAACTTAAAAAGGAAAGGGAAAAAACTTCCTCAAGTTGCGGCCCGAGATTGCCGGCGTGCGTGCGGAGCGCGGGCGGGGGCCCGGCGCGCCCCGGGTCGCCCCCTCCCCAGCCGCGGGGGGCCCCTGCTGCCCTGGCCGCGCGGGGCCGGCGGGGTCACGGGGCGCTGGCTCGGCTTCCGGCTGGCGCCCCGGGGCCGGGCGGGTGGGGGGGCGCACGGCACCCGTTCCGTCCCCACCCCCGGCCTGCGGATGTGGGCCGACCCCGCCCGCCCAGGCCCCGGAGCGGGGGCTGGCTGGGGGCAGGGGGCGGGAGTCCCCCTCCCCGCCCCCCCCCAGCCAGCTCTCGTGAAGACGGCACCGCCGGGCGGCTCCTGCGAAGTTTCGCCCACAATCCAAGGCCGCACACACAGGCGGACGGGGTGCGTGGGGTGGGGGGAGCGGGGCCCCGCACGGAAGGGCTGGCAACTTGGGAGTGTGCGCGCGGCCGGGGACCCGGGGTGGTGGGCGAACCCCACCTCTAAAACAACAACAGCAACAAAAGGCTTCTAACTACAAACAACCTCCGGACCGGAGCGCCGGCCGGGGCTGGCGGAGGTGGGAACAAAGCTGGCCTCCGGAAGCGCCGCGCCGGGGCTCGCCGGGGACCGCCGAACTTCGCGGCTCCCGCAGCCCCCGCGGACCGGGAACTTGGTGCGAAGTCCTCGGCGGCGTCGGCGGCCCGGCCCCGCCCTCCCCCGGGGCCGCCCGCGATCCAGGTGGAGGAATCGACTTCCTTTTTTGTTTGGCGAGGACCGCAGTGCGGGGCATGATGGGAAATGTAGTCTACCGGGCTCGCCCCCCACCCTCTTCCCCCAAACAGTGACCGGGAGGGTCGGGGTGCCGCTTCCCTCCCCCTCCGCCCCGCGCCCCGCAGGAGGGGGGGAGGGAGCCGGGGGGCGGGCCGAGGAGGGGCTCGAGACGCCCGCCTCGGGAAGAAAAGAAAAAAAACCAACAAAGTTGAAGTGTTTTCATTTCTGCCTTCTCATTTGGAGAACTTTGGCGGCCGCCCCCGGGAGGAAGCGGGACCCACACGGCCCCTCGGACGGAGACTTTGCCTTTGTTTTTTCCGCCCCCCCCCTTAGGATTTCACCAGCCCCATTTCCCACCCCGCGGGGGGGGGGGGGGGGGACCGGGGGAGCCGAGCCTCGGGCTTCCTGGGTCTGACAACTGCGTTCGATCGGCGTCCCCGGCCCCGCGCCCGGCGGGTGCGCTGCGCCCCTGGCGCGCCCCGCTGCCCCGGGCGCCCAGGCCTCGCCCCCCTGGCCGCCGGGCACCTCCTCCGGGCAGCCGCCCTCCCTCACGTGGCAGGCTCCGCGCTAAACACCACTGCAATCACTACAATAAAAAGGGGGGGGGGGAAATAAAGGGAGTCGGAGAAACACAAAGCGTACTTAAACAGGCGCTTCCTCTTTCCGCAGAAATGAAGCCCGAGATTGCCAGATTTCTTTTTTTTATTTTACAATTTTATAAAACATCAGCCTTCTCCTGCTCCCTCCGCTCGCCCGGGCGCAGCCCCCCGAGTGGCCTGGCGCCCGTCCCCTCTCTCTCCTCCAGCCCCTTGGCTGAGTCTTTGTCTGGCCCCAGCCCCGCGGGGGCCCCAAGTCCCTGTGCCCTCGGGGGTCCCTAGAAGGCGACAATGGCTCGAGTCCAGGCGCCGAGGCTGGCGAGCGCCTGCTTGGCGCACAGCTGCCCGTTGAGCGGCGGCGGCTGCTCGGCGGAGTCCGGCTGTCGGCTCACCAGCCCGGAGAAGCCCGAGCCAAAGATGGAGATCAAGTTTGAGATGTTGGACGCGTCCGGGGACGAGTCCGGGCAGAAGTCCTCGAAGCGAGCGCGTTTGCAGGGGGCGAACGGGGCGCCCCCGGGGGGCTCGGCCCCTAGGTCGCCCGCGTCCGCCTCGTCGTCGTCGTCCTCTTCCTCCGGGCCGGGGTAATACTTGCGTTTGCAGCCCGCGGCGGGCGCCAGGCCGGGTCCCGGGGCGCCCTGGCCACAGCAGGGGCAGTGGGCGGAGGCGCAGCAGTCCTGGTGCAAATAGCCGTTCTCCACCGTGGTCACCACGTGAGTGTCCAGGTCCAGCACGGTGGTCTGGCTGCTGCAGTGCACGCCGAAGTCCGAGGGGGCCGGGTACGCGCCCCGGTAGAAGCCAGGAGAGGAGGCGGGAGCAGGAGAGGCGGGCGGGGAGGCGGCAGCGGCGGCCGGAGAGGCGGCCCCCGGGGGCGCGGAGGGCGAGGAGCAGGCGGCCGAGGCGCGAGGGTCCCGCGGGCAGAGCGGGGCGGAGGGCGCGGGCGGCGACGGCGGCAGAGGCGCGGGACCCGGCGGCAGGGGCTCCAAGGGCTGCCCGCGATGGGGCGCGCCGTGCGGCGGCTGGAGCGCAGCGGCGCACCCGGGGAGCTCGGAGAGCGCCCCCGCGCTGCCTGCGGGCGCCCCGGCCGCCGCCGCCGCCGCCGCGCAGCTCCGGGGCGCCGGGTGCTGGTGCTGGTGCAGCTGCTGCTGGAGGTGAAGCTGGTGGAGCTGGTGGAGCTGGTGCAGCTGGTGTCGGGCGACCGGATCGCGCGCCTCCGCGTCCCCGCCACCGCCAAGTTGGAGCGGGCCGAAGTCGGCCGCGCTGGCCGGCATGCCGGGCGCCGCGTACGCGAGGGGCTGGGGCTGGTGGTGGGGCGGTTGCTGCTGCTGGTGCTGCTGCTGGCGCCGGTAGAGCTCGGCGTAGCGCTCGCTCAGGTAGAGCTGGCGCGCGTTGCGGAGCACGTAGGACACCAGGAGGTTCTTGTGCAGCTTGATGCCGCCGCGCTGGGTCCGCGAGCTGTGGATCTTGCGCAGGGAGATGCTGATCAGGCTCTGCGCGTCCAGGGCGCACTCCATGCTCCCGCGGAGACGGCGGCGGCACAGCAGCCGCCGCCGCCGCTGCTGCTGCTAATGTTGTTGCTGCTGCTGCTCTTCCGGCTTCCAGCCGGTCTCCGGGACGCACCGGGCAGGGGGCAGCCGGAGCTCGAATCAGAGGATCGGCTGCGCTCCGCGAGGAGCCGCCACCATGCGTTGCGCGCCACCCGCAGGCTCGCTCTCCCCGGACGGCGCCAAAGCAATGAGCCTCCTCCGGCCCGGGCGCCAGCTATTTAACTGGGCAGGCCGACTCCGCCTCACACCGGCTCGGCCAATAGAAATGCTCAGAGCCTCCCGAGTGACAGGCGCCGCCCGCCCCCGGGCCGCTCGGCTGGCCAATCAGACCAAGGCGGTTCCTTTGTGCTATTCAAATACCGAACGGACCCCGGGCCTCCAACGCCGCCGCTGCCTCGAATGTTCTCCTGGGGCCGCGGCACCGCGCGGGGCTCGGAGCCGCCCCGGGCCGCCGTCCACAGCTCGCCTCGCCTCGCGGCGGCCACGTTAGAGCCCGCGGCGGCTCCGAGCCCGGCTCCCGAGAGCTGGAGGGTCGGCTCACCTGAGGACCCCGCGACGGCTCCGCCCCCTTCCGCACCTGCGGCAGGTGCGCGCGGTTCCCCGGCCGCGGCGCCGCGGCCTTCTCACCTGCCGGACCCCGCGGCCCGCGAGGCCGAGGCCTCTGCAGGAGCGAGTGGGGCGGAGGAAGGGAAGGTCGGGGTGCCGACACCGCAGAGTGTGTGGAGCTTGGCTGCCCTGAATCTTGAGCGAAGGAGCCCCTGGGAATGGACGAGGAAAGGGTGTCCTTTGCATCCGTCTCCAAGCCTCGAGGTGTGTGTGCGCATGCGCGCCCGCGCTGATCATGAGACTTGAACTCAGGGCCTGGGCCCTCTCTGAGCTTTTATTTATTTTTTACTCTCTGTTGGTGCTCTACCACTTGAACCACAGCTCCACTTCCTCTGCTTTCTGATGATTCCTTAGCGGTAAGACTGGCTGACAGTCTTATCTGACAGGCTGACTTTGAAGCTCAATCCTCAAATCTCAGCCTCCTGAGTAGTTATGATTATAGGCATTATAGCCACTACCGGGCTACTGCAGAATCTAGATCCGCCCCCCCCCCCCACCTCTGCCAGAAGCTTCCAGGCCAGGCTCTGCCCCCAAGGAGTTAGGGACCTGCCAGCTCCTGGGATCCCAGGGCTTCAGAGGGAGTCGGGGAGCCTCCTGACTGCCACTTTCATGACCTCTTCCTTGCCATCTCACTAATAATAATGACAATAGAGATTGTTTTGTGCCTGGCAGGGGGCAGACCCTTTCGGGAGGCTAGGGGTGGAGAGACTTGAGGCTTCCTGCCGCCCAGCCAGCCCATCCTAACCCTGCAGAGTCTCCTTTTAACTTAAGAATTCTCACGATTTGTTCCTTTAGACAAAGTTCCAGCACCTTCACAGTGCCAGGCGGCAAGGCAAAGACAAAGCTCGTATTTACCCCTTTTTTTCAGGTGGGAAAACATGAGCACTACCAGTGCAAAGGACTTGCCCAAGCTTTCCCTGCTTTCTGAGCTCTGGGGACCAGGACTTTCTCTTCGGGCCTCCTGGAAAAGTCAGGATTGAAGTTGGATGTCAGCCTGGGTAGTAAATTCCATGAAATTCCATTTCCTAAACAATCAGCAAAAAGCAGGACTGGAAGCGTGTCTTAAGTGGCAGAGCACCAGGCTAAACTCACAGGAGTTTGCTCACTTTTGAACCATCACCAGCATGAGAAGGGAAAGGGGCGGGGCTTTATAGCTGTGATGTACAGCCCCCTGTCCCATATTTATTGGGGAAACTGAGTCTTGAGGTCCCACAGCCAGCAAGGGGTGGAGTTAAGGTTTGAAACTAGGTCTGGGGGTTTCTAGAAGTGAGCTTCCATGGTGAGTGGAGCTGGGTCCTTGGGGCCAGTTCATGACCTTGATGTGACCCAGTCCCACCACTCTCTCTCTTTTTTTTTTGTCGGTCATGGGGCTTGAACTCTGGGCCCGGTGCTGTCCCTCAGCTCTTCAGCTCAAGGCTAGTGCTCTACCACTTGAGCCACAGTGCCACTTCTGGTTTTCTGGTGGCTTATTGGATATGACTCTCAAGGACTTTCCTGCCCAGGCTGGCTTTGAACCATGATCCTCAAGACTTCAGCCTCCTGAGTGAACCACTGACACCTGGCCCCCACCACTCTTTTTTTGGCCAGTCCTGGGGCTTGAACTCTGGGCCTGGGTACTGATTCTGAGCTTCTTTTGCTGAAGGCTAACACTCTACCACTTGAGCCACAGCATCAGTTCTAGTCTTTTTTGTGTATGTGTTACTGAGGAACCCAAGCCAGGGCTCCATGCATGGGAGGCAAGCACTCCAACACTAAGCCACCTTCCCAGGGCCGCCCCCTCCCACTTTCATTTAATTTAATTTATTTATTTATTTTGTCAGTCGTGGGCCTGAACTCTGGGCCTGGGCGCTGTCCCTCAGCTCTTCAGCTCAAGGCTAGCACTCTACCACTTGAGCCACAGCGCCACTCCCGGCTTTTTCTGCGTATGTGGTGCTGAGGAATCGAACCCAGGGCCTCATGCATGCAAGGCAAGCACTCACCACTGAACCACCTTCCCAGCTCCCCTCTCACTTTAAAAAAAAACAGATTATTTATATTTTATTTTATTTTTACCAGCTGCTGTAGGACCAGGGCCTACAGGAACCCATAAGGAAGTGTTGGCCAAGTGCAAGTGTCAGAAGGCTGAGGTCTGAGGATCACAGGTTTGAAGCTAGCCTAGGCAGACACTTAACTCCATTTAAGCAACAAAAACCTGGAAGTGGAGGTGTCTCGTGGTAGAGTACCAGTCTAGAGTGAAAAAGCCAAGTGTAGTATGAGGCCCTGTGGTCCAGCCCAGTACTGACCCGTGCACTTGTGCATGCTCACACGCATACACACACATGCACACACACAGAGCAAGCTTCAGCATTCACAGCCATTCTCTGAGCTGGCTGGGGACCCCAGGGAGGAATGGAGGGGGCGTGGGTGTGGCAGGCCCTCACTTGGGCAGCTCTTTTCGGTACCTCAGTCATTCACGTAGCTTCTGCTGCACCCGAGTTGCTATCTTTATTGATATTATTTTTGGTTGATCTGGGGTTTGAATCTAGGGCCTCACGTGTGCTAGCCAGTTCTTCTGCCTTTTGTTATTCTCAGGTAAGTGTTTTTTGCCTTCAGAGCCAGGCTCCTATTATTCTCTCCACACTACCACCTGGAATTCTAGAAGTGGACAGAGATGCTTGGCTTATTTATTGAGATGGGGGTCTGACTTTTTTGCCCCAGCCGGCCTCAAGCCATGATGCTCCTGAATAGCAGGAATTACAGGCATGAGCCACCACATCTGGTTCGTTTTGAGCTCTTTTAGGGACTGTCCATGCTGCCCAGTGGCCCACACTCCCCTAAACTGTCCTCCTCCTCCCTCCCTCTCCCTCCTTCCACTCCCGCTCCTCAGTTGAGGGGCAGGCTGGGTGGAGGGAGGGCAGGCTAAGCAGTAGGCCTCCTTGGTCTTTTTCGGGGTGTCCTGGTGAGGGCCGTGGTCGCAGTTGTAAGCACACACCGATGGGCGCTGGCAAGGGCACAGCTGAGCTGGCGGGGAGCTCGAGGCCGGGCGCCGGTGGCTGAGATCTGAGGATCGCGGTTCAAAGCCAGCCGGGGCAGGAAAGCTCCAAAGCCACCAAAAGCCGAAATGGAGCCGTGGCTCGAGTGGTAGAGCGCCAGCAAAGATTCAACAAGAAAACTCAGAAGCCAACAAGAGCGCGAGGCCCTGGGTTCCAGCCCCGAGTCCGACGCACACGGGAAACAGGAAACAGCGGAGCGCGCGTGCGCGTGCGTGGGCGCGCAGGGCGGGGCCCCGACCTCGGTGCCGGCGCGCATGCGCGCCTGGGCCCTCAGCTTCGGCCCGGACCCCCTGCGTTTCACGTGTTCACTCTCCGGTAGTTCCAGAACCTTCCTCGAGTCCCTGGAGGTGGAAGAGGGGACGAGGCGAGACGTCCTTGGGAGGCTGCGAGGCGAAGGTCGGGCCTGCCGCGGCCCGGAGGGTGAGTGAGGCGGCGCGTGGGAGCGGAGGGACCGCACTGGCCGGACGCCGCCTGTGGAGGCCGAGGCCGAGGCCGGACGCCGCCTGTGGAGGCCGAGGCCGGGGCCGGGGCCGGACGCCGCCTGTGGAGGCCGAGGCCGGGGCCGGGGCCGGACGCCGCCTGTGGAGGCCGAGGCCGGGGCCGGACACCGCCTGTGGAGGCCGAGGCCGGGGCCGGACACCGCCTGTGGAGGCCGGGGCCGGACACCGCCTGTGGAGGCCGGGGCCGGACGCCGCCTGTGGAGGCCGGGGCCGGACGCCGCCTGTGGAGGCCGGGGCCGGAGGCCGCCTGTGGAGGCCGGGGCCGAGGCTGGACGCCGCCTGTGGAGGCCGAGGCCGGACGCCGCCTGTGGAGGCCGAGGCCGGAGGCCGCCTGTGGAGGCCGGAGGCCGCAGGGAGGGGCCGGCCCGCCAGCTTCGGGGTTAGGCCCTGAGAGCGCTTGTGTGACTTGCTGGGGTCACGCAGCGTGGGGTGTGCTGAGCCCGCCGGGAGTCCTGCAGGCTGACCTCCGCGCGCTGGCAGACAGCAGCCGTACACTCGGCCGTTCACCGTCACTCATTCATTCATTCACCCACAATCCCATCCACGCAGTATTTATTCTCATTTATTTATTCCCTACCCGTCCGTCCATCCCCTCGGGACCTCGGTGTGCAGAGTGGCCGTGAGTGGGCATGGCGCCGGCCGATCTCACTGCAGAGGGCAGCGAAGGGATCATGTTTATTTCACAAGGCAAATAGCTGCCCCTGTCCTCACGAACTTTCCCTGCATTCCGGACAGAAATAGGAAGCAGTGGGAGAAGTACACAAGAGGGAGCTGATGCAGGGGCAGAGCTACAAGGGGGCAGAGGTCGGGAGGGTTGAGATTCAAGGTCAGCCCAGGCCCCACCCCCCAAAAAAATTCAGGAGACCTCACTTCAGCCAGTAAAAAGATGGGCATAGTGGTCCCATCTATAATCCCAGCACTTGAGAGGTGGAGGTGGGAGGGGCAAAGAGTCCAAGGGCAGCTGGGTGCTAATGGCTCACACCTATAATCTTAGATACTCAGGAGGCTGACAATCTGAGGATTGTGCTTAGAAGC